GGAGGAGTACAGGCTGGAATGCGGGGTGAGGCAGGGGGGGTTGACCTCTCCCACGCTCTTCAACCTGTACGTCGACCGATTGATCGATGAGCTCAGCAACACCGGCATCGGGTGTCATATAGATGGAGTGTGTGTGAATAATATCAGCTATGCAGACGATATGGTGCTGCTGAGCCCATCGATTGGTGCCTTGCGCGGGCTCCTGAAAATTTGCGAGTCCTACGCGGTGGCTCATGGGCTCAAATACAACGCGAAGAAAAGTGAAATAATGATTTTCAGACCAGATAACAAGCGTTACAATTTTGTTCCAAATTTCACTTTATGTGGCATAGCTCTGAACAAAGTCGAGCAATTTAAGTATTTGGGCCACTGGGTCACTGAGGACCTTAAGGATAGTGTGGATATTGAAAGGGAGCGTAGGGCGCTGTGTGTCCGGTGCAACATGTTGGCACGTAGGTTTGCACGGTGCACGGGGATTGTCAAAGTTGCGCTCTTTAAGGCGTATTGTCAGTCTTTTTACGCCTGCGGCCTGTGGGTTGACTTCACGCAGCGGACATACAGCGATCTGCGCGTTCAATATAATAACGCGTTCCGGGTGCTGATGGGGCTGCCGCGGCACTGCAGCGCTTCTGCGATGTTCGCGACTGCTAACACAGACGGCTTTCCAGCCATCATGCGCAAACGGTGCGCTTCAATCATGCGCCGCATGCGCGACAGTCCCAACGGCATCTTGTGCGCGCTGGCGGATCGGTGGGACTCTCCGATGCTGGCTCGCTGGATAAGGCTGCATGCAGTTGTATAGTGTTTTGCCACCATCATCGGGGAGTCCACCCGGACCCGCCACTACAAGTTAGTGCTCAATTAGATTAGACGTGATCAATAGTTATTATTATTACTAACACTAGTTTGTAAGCTCGCAATTGTACTAACACATATGGATCTAAATCTGAAATAAATGATTATTATTATTATTATATTATTATTACTTTACGACTTTCCCCGCCGAATAATTTATTTCGTACTTTGAACAATGTATCAATATCTTAACACTTAGGGTCTAATCTCTAGAGAATCAGGGAAGGTTTAACCCGGATAGATTGTTTACGAACCGATCATAGCGGCCATCAATCACACGTGACGTCACAGCCGACCTTACGCTAAATTACAAGGGAAGCAGCCATTAATATATTCTATTGGGTATAAATTACTTGATGAATGAACCAAGAACCTGTAGACAATAACCTACCATCACTCAACGGTGAATCTAGAATAACCTATATCAACTTTTGTGAAAGATACTCACAACCTCAATAGTTGAAGTCACTGAGTTGAAGTCACTGAACAGTTTTTTCTGTTTTGCGGTCGGGAGTAGTCGCGTTTCAAACATGTTGAAAACTGTTTCCTATAAAAATGAAAAGTCATGCATTTTATGAATGTTTAAACTGTCAAACACCGAGCGGTCACCGGTGACCGCAACCTATTGTTCTTTAATTGTGTCTATAATGACGGTACTCATCGAGTTAAAGGTTGAAATATTATTTATAGAATATCCTATTTAGCTCCTAGCCACACAGGAAGCCAACCTGTGTCGGTTATACCAGTCGGAAGAGGGTAGGCGGAATTACGTAACAAACTTACTTTACGTTCGTTCTTATTACCATGTTATAGTGTTGTAAGTCCAATGCAATAAGCCAAGTTTATAACTCTTTCATAAATTGTTAAACCCTTCTTATGCTCGTACCTACAATGTGGTTTATTAAAAAACGAAAATCTTGCCTACCTTAATTTACGAGTACCTAGAGGTATAAGTGTATGAAGTTATTCATTAAAAATGAAACTTCAGACAAAACGAATGAATCAATTGAGATTTTCTTGGGTATATAATTATTTCTTAGTCCTCGGAGAAATAACACCCACTTTTCGGACTGTTCTATTAGTGATACAAGATTGATGACTGTTAATGAAGCGAAAGAGGTATGTAAGAATCGTAGTAATTGGCGTTCCTTAGTCTCTGCCTACCCCCATGGGACACAGGCGTGAAGTTATGTATGTATGTATGTATGTATGTATGTATGTATGTATATATGTATGTATGTATGTATGTATGATACAAACGTTTAAACTGTCAAACACCAAGCGGTCACCGATGACCGCAACCTATTGTTCTATAATTGTGTCTACAAAACCGGTACTCGACGAGTTAATTGACTGCACGGTTGAAAGAAAGTAAAAAAAAAATTCTCGCTAAAAAACAAGTGGCATGTACCTACCTACATACAGATGTGTCCTTCTATTAGTATGTACTGATGAATACATGTTCATGTCCCAAGTCCGCCCGTTTAATAGGACCAGTTCAAATTGTTGTTTCGGGTCTGGGTCTCCTGCATCGTGGGTGCGTTTACAATCGTTGTATGTTTGTAAACGCGGCCACGATGCAGGAGAAAATCCTAGTGTGGGTCAATTAAAAAAAAACATTCCAACAATACTCTTCGCTTACAATTCTAAAACAATATCGTTGTTCAGCGAAATGAGGTACGTAGATACTTATTATTTTCGAAACAAGCCACCCTTATAAGGGACACGAATTATAAGTCACCCCATAAATATAGCTAGGCTATTTATCGGCTCGGCTCCACTTCCAGCCTTCGGTTACGTGAGGCGAGTACGGCAATGATGTTTTTCACAATGATTGGCAGTAATTGACAGTGTTGCCGTGCCATGAATTTAAAATGGCTGCAAGAAATGTACCAACTATATTTTACCGTCAATTTAACAAACTGACGAGTTAATCTATGAAGGCTTGTGTTTGGTATTTGTTATTTTTAACGGAGATATTACTTTTTGTAGCGGTTGTTTTGTTGTTTAAGTTTTGTTAAGAAAATCTGTTCAGTCCAATGAAGGGCTTCTGGATTGTTGAGGTTGAAATAGAGTAATAGTATCATTCAAAAGCTGCGATTTATTAACTAAAAGAAATGCCCTTTTCAATCCAGTGCCTTTAGCCAAACGCCACTTTAGCGCTTGTCTATTGAGAGAGTAGAAAACTAAATGTATGGGGATGACACTGTCAAGTGTCAAAATTTACATCAATTCCATATAATTTGGTTTTCTATTCTACATGTAGACAAGCGTTAAATGGCATTTGGCTACAGCTGCTGTTCTGATGCCCTAATGAGGGCAGATGGTCTATTGTCTATGGTCATTGGTACCCGGGTCTATTGAGAAAGTCTCCAGAAAATATTATAATATCGAATATCCATATTTTGATCCAGCAAGCTGCCTAATGCCTATATTCATTCATTCACTAGTAATTATTTACTAATAGGTACCTATAAGTAAAAAGCCATTCAATCAATGGCTACACCACATAATATTTACGTTGCGGCAAATTCTATTACTTTAGTTCACGCACATTTAGACTTTCACTCAGCATCTGTCAGCGTGTCAGTCGCAGACTATGTTTTCTCAAAGTTTCAATCAAGACGAACAAATAGCTTTTCCTGAAAATCGTTAGCGGAAACATTTCTTAAATTTACCTAGTCATTATTAACAGATAATCCTATTTTTATGTTTGTAGATACTGCGATAACGTAAATTAAGGACATCCCATATCGGGTCGAGTAAGAGACTACATAATTATTTAACAGAGACTGGGCAGCAGCCTTCTCTAGTTCATCTGATCCTTTTAAACTGTAACCTCTAACCCGTTTGACCAGAGTGGAGATAGGCTGTTGGCATGGCATGGCATGGCATTATCCTGTGCTCTATACATTACATGTCAGAGTCAATTATCGCAATTTATATTTGCCTCAATTGAAGACCATGACATTTGCGGCCAATAGACCATTGCTTAAATTTAATTACAGTAATTAGCAGTACTTTGCTACAGATAACAACAGTTTTAATAAGTAACCTGTAACGGTAACCGATAACAATCTCCAATATGACCGGTAAACCATTGAAAACCTGTCGTAACTTCAAAGTTCCATAACGTTTATAACCACTAACGACTGGTTGTACGGACAGTGACCACACAACTGGCAATTTTGTGTAATTATGTCGGTACCAACATAGTTACAACGGTGACTATAAATTTACATTTTATGGTTTCACTATCTATTGCCCGCGGTTTTATTCGCAGGTAAAATGGGAAAGATTTGAAATGTCAACGATGTTTTAAAATGATTACAGTCACGCCATCTATTATCTTTTAGGAAAATTACAATTGTTGTGTATTGCAGCAATTTGAATTTTACCTTTCTTGAGAATGAAATAATTTTCCACGATTTTTAGGTACTTACCTGCTTTTTATTAGCGTATAATATGTAACACCTACGTTTCAACTACTTTATTGGACAAATCACATTGTTCGATCTCTTCATCTCAATGTGACTCGAAACACCCATACCTACCAACCAAGGTATTTGCTTATAATTTTAAATGGACAGCTTAGTTATCAAGTATGAACTATAAACACTGACAGAGAAACGATTGAAATTACTGTCCTAAGTAAATTCGTTTGGCCGGAGGTGGTTCAATCTCCTGAATGTTTATCGAAGTTCTAACAGCTTAATTAGTTCATTTCGGCGTGACGGACCACTCAATATTAATCGTAGGCCAAGTAAATATTAGTTTATTAACTGCGATTACAGAAATCCCCAGATTGAATTGTTTTTTATTGGAATAAGAGGTAAACTAGCACCACCACGAACGAATCACCTGATGGTAAGCGATCAGAGCCGCCCATATGCTTACCATCCTGCTGTATTTATTGAATTACGTACGGAACTGATTAGTTTTTAATCAGATAAGTCTTGACTATTGTAACGTTCGATAGGTATCTACGTTTTAGCCCACAAAATATTTTACCATTGCAGTCGGATCTTCACTGTTTGTTCCGGGACAATTTAGGTACTCTTGGTAAACAAGGTTCATGGTACCTGCTATAGGTAACAACAATAATCATCATGAAAATCTAACAAATAACCTTCTCCTAATTTCAGACTGATGCGGGATGAGGAATGCAACCTACTGCAGAATCTATCTAGAGAGGAGTTCCGGGAGTTCCGTACCCTGGTCATCGACATGGTCCTGGCGACGGACATGTCGTTCCATTTCCAACAACTGAAGAACATGAGGTCGCTGCTCTCACTCGCTGAGCCCACCGTTGACAAGTCCAAGGCTGCCTCTCTTATTCTACACTGCTGTGATATTTCACACCCAGCTAAGGTGAGATATGACATTAACTTTCATTCATACTTCATACTAGTCTACGATCTATTAGGCAGGTGTGTATTTATTTGGACATATGAATCGAATCTCAGACATTCGTTTGTAACACTAGGTTTAAAAACCAGAAATCTAATTATGTTTTGCATTCCCAATAAGATCATAGACTGGACTAGGTAGGTACGTATGTGCTACTCAAAACTTGATTTCTATGAAAAGATTTAAACATATTCAAACAATAATGTTTCAGAGATGGGACCTGCATCACAGGTGGACAATGAGTCTCCTGGACGAGTTCTTCCTGCAGGGAGACAAGGAGCGGGATCTGGGGCTCCCGTTCAGCCCACTTTGTGACAGGAACAACACGCTCGTGGCGGAGTCGCAGATCGGTTTCATCGAGTTTATCGTCGAACCAAGCATGGGCGTCTGTGCCGATATGCTTGAGTGCATATTGGGCCCTCTACATTCCAGCAGCAAGAACTCCACCAGTTCTGCTGAACCTATCAATGAAGAGAGCACAGGTACGAAAGATAGTAAGTATTCTCAAAGTTCTACGAACTAGCATTTTTACTATTTGACCTTCTCGTAAAAATATCCAAGAAAAATAATAATGAACACAAACTTATTCATTAACTCATAATAATATCGTTTTTCAGGAAATGAAAATAGCAGCAAGTTCAAGATCAGGAAGCCATGGGTCGCGTGCCTCAGCGATAACAAAAAGATATGGAAGGAGCAAGCTGCTAAAGGTAAAATACACCACTAACAAAACTAGTTTACATTGACAAAGTCGTAAATTACACTTTTAACTGAATATGATAAATATTTTCAGATGCTGAGGCACGCGCTAAACAGGAGGAGGAGAACAACAGTGTTCCACCGACAACAGAGGAATAATATTTAGCCTCATTTGTAAATAGCGTTAGATCTAGTTGTTGCAACATGTTCTATTCGTTGTTAAAGAAAAGCTAAAGCATACTGTAAAATATACATACGTGTGCCAGCTATATTATACGTTGCTAATTTATTAAAATATAAATTGTTGTGTGTAACGCACAAATATACGACTTGGAAGCACAATGCGAAAAGCCTGGATGTATAAAGTTTCTCTATGTGGAAGACAACATAGTGAGCTAATTCGAACAGGCGACATACCGCGCAGCGGTAACGCCAGTAGTGTAAATGATTCATTATTATTATTCGCCGCTAAGATTCTAGCCTAGCCTAATATTAAGTCTAATAAAGCTTTGAAGATGTCTTGTTATCAAGATTCTATTGCGGGAAAATAGGACTTTATCTAATTAATTAAAATTGTAAGGTCCCAGGATGTTACCCTGAGGAATCCCTTGAACTTCTGCCTCGTAATAGAATCTTGTCTGTATATTTGAGGATGTATCGATAGGTAACAATATTTTCTACTCATAATTGAAATAATTATTGTGTAAAACTGTACTGAACTCATTTCAAATATAGTTGGTAAGAGCTAAATGTATCTGTAAGTAACTATCAAATGCTGGTGACGGAGCAAACAACATTAATTTATGTAATCATAAACACATGTGCACTTCTCTTCAATCAAACACTTAACTATAACTTAAATGTAGCTTAATATTAGTGTTAAATTTAACCCATAATATGATGAATACGCTTATTAATTTTAATGTTTCCGATTAAATTGGAGTCTTGATATTCTTGACCAAATGTTATTTAATATGAAATTATTTTCTAAATAATAATGCCATTTCAAATTCTAGTAATAGGTAGATAGTACATTAGTAAATCTTCATGAATACAAATTAAGATTTTTGTCTTTGTTATATACAACATAGCTAAGTATAATGTAGAAAATCTCAAATATTTATTGAATTTCAAAGCTCGTGCTCAAAACAGATCGAGACGAACTGCTTTCTGTGAACAACAACTACCTATTAGATCTATTAGACTGAAAGGCAAAGGCGTCACAGCCCTAGGAAGAACAGGAATACTTAGGTAGGCTAAGACTCGGTCTTATTGCAGGCTCTTGTGGAGGACCCAGAGTATATGTACCGTCCTTCAACTAGAATATCTTCTGACGAAAGAAGTTGAACATTGAATTTATTATTATCAAAGATATTAAAACATTTCAGGCCAAGTGTTTACTCGCCGATGCCAAATTTACAACCGACATTGGTACTGATAAACTGAAAATAGGTACATACACATTTTTCTACTGTTACCATAAAAATGTACGAGTACTCAACAACATTTCAAACATATATCAGAGGCCTAGTTTCCTGGTAGGTACGTGGGACCATTCTCATTGAATATCAAATCAATTGAATCCATAATCATGATAAATTAGGTCCCTAGGTGTATGATTTCAGGGATGGTAAGGCTAAATATTTAATCCAACTGGTGACGCTTATCGTAGACAAATTTAACAATAGATTTTTTTATATATGTATATTTATCATCTATTTTAATGATTATTAGAGATTTATTAAATTCTGTATATTGTGCATTTAGTGTACCTACCTATTAATAGTTCATAGGTACTAATTATTAAGAATAGTCAATATAGAAACATACTTAATTTGAAAATGTAGTCTAGTAATGCCATTCAGATTGGGGATATAGCTTTATAAAATTGTAGATTTTAGCATACTGAGCCTTATGTAAATGAATATTAATTGTTGTTTCTGTAATATATAGCTTGGAGCATACGGCCCACTCTTGATTAATGTAATCTCTCTCAGACTTTAGGAACCACTTTTGTACAATACTATTGCTTTTAAATGTGACATTACAACATTCCGAATGTGTTTAGTATTCAATTGTCAATGTACTTAAGCTATTTAAAGACCTATACACTGCTATGTTTTAAGATAGTGAAAAATAAAGAATATTAACTAACTAGTTACCTACCCACAGTCGTAATATATTTTTCACAAAATATCCTAATGTGCTTTCACATAAAATAGTAATGATAAACTTTGAAGTCATTGAAAGTAAGCATAAGTATCCATTCATAGTTATATAAATACTATACCTATTACATGTGTAAAGAGATGTTATTTACTAAAAGTATCGACGTAAAATTCCTAACATTTTCTATTATTGTATCCCACACAGTAAAGCAAGTAATAGTATATTTAGATGCAACCGCTGAAGATGAATTTTCTATTATGTATTGTAAGTATGCAAATGTACCTATTTATTAAATGTTTTATCTTAAAAATCACAATAATTTTATGTAAACAACAACACAGATCTTTGTATGAAATTGCATTTTCTCTCTAATAAAATGAAATCTCAAAATCAAATGGTTTTTTATCAACTCGATGGTCTTTTCTACATGTGTAAATATATTTGTTCACCTTTTAGTTACATGTAAATTATATGTAAAATAAAATAAAGATTTTCGTAGACGAAATGTTTACTTTAATACCCTTACATAGTTTACAACATGAGACATAAGAAATGCATGTTCTTATATTTCTAAGAAATAGAAAAATATAAAAGTTGAAGCAGTGAAGATCTTAATTTATTCTTAACATACTTATTGTAATAGTTTAGCACAATAAAGAAATCATAACAGATTATTTTAATCATTGCAACAGCAGTGCAAATCCTTTATGTTGTCTATTTTATGAACAGCATAATTATTGCAAAAAAATAGACTTAAAAACAAAATTACTTATCATACATTCAAAACCCTTTCAGGATTATTCTGATTATAGACTATTTAGCAGCTACAATACAAGATTTAGCATTTATATTAGCAGCTTATAAAAATATTGCTATTTTTAAATAAAAATAAAGTATTGATTATAATGATGACATGATTTCTGTAAGATGTCTGATATAATCTATGTATATGACATAAAATGATGAACACACTGCCTCGCTGGTGAGTATCTCAGTTTCCTAAAAGTAGATGATTATAAAAAAAAATACATTTATCAACTATCCTGCTATATTCAATGCTATCTCTTAGACATATATGAACAATATGCTACTTAACACTACAGCTGTATTACATAGCAAATCATATTTGCAATTTAACAATATAAAAGGCACATTAAGCTAACATTTTAAACTTTGACACAAAATGTAATATTTAAAAAAGTATCACAACTGATTCAACTAAGAATGTATTTATGGGTCTTGCCAAATATATTAAGCTGAATGGACAAGCCTCGGACATCTGATTTCTGTCTATTACAAATTATTGTTCCCTCAATCACATCTCCTTGCTTGACCTCTTTGCAATCTTTCAAGTAAAAAACAGTCTGTTTCCAATGTGTTGGAGTCTTGTGCGGTCCAGTTGAGAAGTCTATTGCATTTGGCAGATCAAAGAAAGTGTCAAAGTAACCAACAATAGATGTCAAAACACCATCCTTCACAATAGGCAGTTTAAATTCCGATGTGAAGTCCATGACATCAATTTTGCATGTGTTTATATCAATGTCTTTGACAACACAGGGCTCAGATATTATAAATTTTGATCCAACAACATCAATACTTGCTTCCCTCACGACTTCAGACTTCATGCAATTCATTTTATATCCGTAGACATCTGACCAGTAGTCTATAAGTTTCTTATGTGTATCTATGTCGCCATTAGCAACAAGACTAATATTGCACCTATTGGGTAGCAAGAGACCACCAGGTTTAAGACAATGATCCCTTGCATATATCACACTATCTAACATGCCTTCAAACAGCAAAAAGTATCCCATCCACTCGGAAACTATAATATCGACCTTTTCATTTAATTTTGTATCTTCCAGTCTTCCTTTAACTAATTTTATAACATCTTGCAAGTTGTTTTCCCTCACTATGTCCATTGCATGGTATATTATTTCAGACTGATCTAGCGCATACACCGTCTTAGCTCCAGCTGTAGCACAGAACATTGATAAGATACCGGTACCACAACCCAGATCCAGAACGACTTTGTCTTTCAATGTTTCCTTGTTATTCAGTATTGCATCCCTATAAGTTTCAGTTCGCACTTTGTCTGAGAGCATGTCATAATGGATACCAAAATGAGCATAAGTACTAAAGTAGCCATCATCAATCTCTAAAGGAACACTTGCAACACAGTTTGCTTCAGTTGGCACTTCAATATTATTTTTATTGGAACCTTCAACTAGAGTTTGCATTGAATCTTGCATCTTCTTAATATCCTCCTTTGCATTATTCAGAAGTGTTGAACTCTCTGCTAGTTGTTGTGTTAGCAACTGTATGGTTCTTTGAAGCTCACTGAAATGTGCCTCGGATAAAGTTACTAAACCATTCTCTACATTAGCATGGTAAGTTTTTGGAGAACTTGGTTTGTCAGTGAGGGCATCGAAGTCGTACATTAGCCACTCATCTTGCTCCACAGGTTTATAATACTTGTCGTCGTCCCACAGCACCCGGTTCATGTTCGTTATAACCTCTGGAGTGGGTTTGTGTGTTCGAATGTAATTAATAAGTTTAATGTATGAATAGCAATCCATATTGAACTTCAGTTTTAATTCGTTCAAATCAAACTTGTGAACAGACTTGCAATGAGTGATTCCTTCCTCAATATTCGATAAAACGTTCGGACAAAATAAGCATGTTACCGTGGTGTCGTTAGTTTCCATTTCTTGCCATTCATCGTCTTCGAAATTATCCTCATCACTACTGAGATCTGGTACGTCCGACATCGTTTACGTATATTGGTAATATAATAATAAATTCGGTGTAAAAGTAGTATTTTCACAATTCAATAACTACAGATCCGCAAAATATGAACATGTGAGATTGAACTGTCAAAAATTCGACATTGATTTTCGTTTGACACTTGACGTTTCATTACATTGGACATTGAGTCAGTCGTTCAGAATTTGAAATGTTTAAAATGTTATACTATCGTATTACACCATATTTAATCAAGTAATTTCAATTAAGAAATAAGTAATTATTATGCAATTTACGGTATCATGGTTAGTATTCGTTGTATTTACTAATATTTTACAATTTATTTGTTTCTAAACGTACGTCATACATGACAAGTACTGGCAGATATTCCGTAAAAAAATGAAGTGTAGCCATTTGCTAATCAAAAAAATAATATTGATTTCCTTTTAATCGTGGAAGATAGCATGTTTGTGTGTTCAGACAGCTATATCTATATGTAATGATATGTAACACTTTTATTTTTTTTTATTTAGGTACAAATAATCACTTAAATAAAATAAATACTAACTATTACTATTATTATATGTTACATATATATTTAAAGAAAATAAAATTGCTGTGGAGGGAATAAAACTATTACCCTAAAATTATCATTTATTGTGCTTTAATCTATTTTAATAGTTTATATAATTATATCCTTATTTTTTTATTTTTAGGTTTGTAAAGTTGCAACCCTTTGTCTTTTTCTCCAACATGATTTTAACACTTGCAACCCAATCTGTCAATACGTAAAGTTGACGGCGCGAAGTTTGTTTTGCAATTGTTGTCATGGTAGCAAAAACAAGAATAAATTCATAACAAACGTATAAAATAAACATAAATGTAAATTGAATAATCATGAAATTAAAAATATCAACTCTTAAGGAACCAAAACATAACGGTGTGGTTGTTTGTGTTAATTGGAATAATACTGAAGATGTATTTTCTTGTGGGTAAGTACAATGACCGAAATGGGAATCGAGTGAGGGTGAACATGGTATGACGCTGCCGGTTCTAGCCACCAATGTCGAACTACGAACTGAACGTAGGAGTTAAATTAATTTATTTGTTATCCACTTAAACTAAACTCTTTAAAAAAATATCTTTAGCTCGCTACTATTGTTATGTAGGTACTTACTTATTTAATATATATATAGCTGGAGATTTTAAATATGGTAGGTTTAAGTGGGCCTCACCTTACCCAGGGTTACTTTTGATGATGTACATCCTAACAAAAAAGTATCAACTTTTCACTATTTATGTTATGAGTCCCATGTGGTGGTGAGGTGGTGAGCCTATTGCCATATACCGGGCACAATTCCAGACTCCGTGCAACTACTAAGATTCTTTCTAATCCCAGTAATAATTTGCCCGACCCGGGAATCAAACCTGAACTTGCCCGGCAGTCCCATTACGACCACTCAGCCAACGAGGCAGTAAAAAGAAAAAAATACTTCCAGAGATGATCACAAGCTTTTAAAATGGAACCTAGTGAACAGCGAATGTATCGTGGTGACAACGTTTCCTGATGACTTCTTCCCGAATGACATGCACTTATTTCCAAAAATCAGTGTTGGCGGGAATAAGCACCAACACGATGTGATCCTGATTTCTACTGCAGATGGCAAGTAAGTGCAGAACAACATTTTAGTCTGTCGGAAATGATAGGATCTATGTATAGAAATGTATAGGATTCAAACCTCGGGTCGCTTAAAATATTCTTGATCGTTTCGATTTCGTTGGTTCAGTTAGTAGGTACGAAGTTTAGAATTTTTTTTACATTTATTTTAAATTATCAATACGTTTAACTTCTTCGAATAAGTATCTACTGAAGATTGATCTATCTATCTATCTCTCTCTTTTCCGCAGAAAGATCTCTTTTCCGGTACGGAAAGTAAGATAGTGTGATATATTACGTCGGATTGTACTCATCCTTTTTTTAAGGGGGAAAATCATCGAATGACTATTCCCGCCTGGGTGAGGCAGAAGGGAGTGTCAGACTCTTACTGACTAAAAACCATCCCGTTCCTATTCCTGCAATTCGAGCCGGAACCCCGACAAGTCCTCCGCGGCTCCGTATTATCATTGTACTCCTCCTAACCTTACAAATCATGACTTATGAGAGAATGACTTTGATAGGTAATTGCATTCTTACCAAGTTTCCATTATCTATTTGTAGGTTTCACATTGTTAACCACAATGGTCGTATAGAAAAATCGGTGAATGCTCATCAAGGAGCTTGCCTCATAGCACAATGGAGTCCTGATGGAGCTGGACTGTTGACAGGTAGAAACACTCAACCTTATCTTACTATCATCAATTATGAATGGACCATCCTTCATCAATCCATAACAGAACAACAGACAATAATTTTAAAGCACAATTTTAAATCTCCCTTATCATATGAACTTTTGTGAAGGTATTTTATGGTTTTAGCTGGAGAAGACGGCTTCGTAAAAGTCTGGTCTCGCAATGGTCTTCTACGGTCAACTATAGTTCAGTCCGACGTGCCTTGCTTCAGTGCCGTCTGGAGTCCAGACAGCAGTGCCATCTTGCATACGAAAGGGAATTCATTGGTTATAAAGCAACTGAATTCTAGCAACAAGATTACTAAGGTACGTATTTAACCGTACTTATATTATTTTTCTTTTATAAGACAATCTCTTAATGGTGGGTACGAGAACCTAACGGTTTTTTTTTAAAGGGAAAAATCATCGAATGACTGCTCCCGCCTGTGTGAGGCGGGAGGGAGTGTCAGACTCTTACTGACTAAAAACCACCCCGTTCCTTCTCCTGCACGTCGAGCCGGAGCCCCGGTTACCCGTTAAATTCTCCGCGACAACCTAACGGGTTACCGGGTGGTGGTCAGTAACAGTCTGACACTCGCTCCCGTCTCATCTAGGCGGGAGCAGTCATTCAATGAATTTTCCCCTTTAAAAAAAAATGGTGGGTACGGGCTTCCATTCTTGCTACATTCGATCGTCCTGTATCAAACAATATCTCAAGCAAATCTTCACATACGTTGAAAAGGCCATTTAACTACCAATAATGAAATTATTACGGTGGCTAGTCCAAAGATTAGTGTTGGCAACGCATTAATCGGATGGATCCATGCAATTTCATGACGCATTTACCTTTTTTCAGTGGAAAGCTCACGAAGGTCTCATTCTATGTGTAGCATGGAATGCTAACAACAATCTAATCCTATCTGGTTCTGAAGATGGATATTCTAAGGTAAGTACCCAAGAAAAAAATACCCTACTATCTATTACGTTAAAGGTCAAAGAGTAACTTTAATTCAATTTCTGGTTTTCCGTCAGATTTGGGACACATTTGGTCAGCAAATTTCGGTGAGCGTCAAACATGACCAGCCAATCACAAGTGTCAGTTGGTCTCCAGCTGGTGACATGTTTGTACTGGGCAGTTACAACCTTATTCGTCTATGTAACTCTAATGGGGTAAGTTTTTTTTTTTTTTTTTTTTTTTTTTTTAAAAAAAAACGTTGCCCCACACTAGGATTATCTCCTGTGTCGTGGGTGCGTTTACAAACATACAAGTTCACATACACATGACACCCAGACCCGAAACAACAATTTGTGGATCGCACAAAGTGTTGTTCCGTGCGGGAATCGAACCCGCGACACGTTGCACGGCAGCCGGTTGCCCAGCCACCGCACCAACCGTGCAGTCAGGCATTACTTCCTTCGCAGGTACTTACATAATGTTTCAAACATTCTAAATACACTCTTTTCGAATGGCCTACCTTACAACGATAATTTCGTTACTGTCCTGGCCGTATCGTTTATACGTTTATGACTTGAGTTGAAGAATGTTTATGAATCGTTTTCTTAATTCAATCTTAACCGGACCCATTTGGAGTTTAAACTGTCAAACACCAAGCGGTCACCGGTGACCGCAACCTATTGTTCTATAATTGTGTCTGCAAAACCGGTACTCGACGAGTTAATCATTCGCCAATAATTGTTTCCTTAATTTTAGTGGTCTCATTGCCTCGACCGACCGACGACGGGCAGCATATACAACATCGCCTGGTCTTCTGATGGCACCCAACTAGCCGCAGCATGTGCTAACGGACATGTTTTGTTCGCTCATATCATTGATCGGTAAAGACAAACCCTCTATGACTTCACCAATCAAATATGAACCGTTTCTCACTTTACATAATGCCCTAATTAACTTTCCAGAGAATACACATGGAAGAATTACGCTTGTAACCAAATAGGTCGGAAAGTAATCGCTATCCGAGATATTATGACTGATCAAAATGATCAACTGGATTATCCGGACAGAGTTATTCAAATTGCTCTGGGCTTCAACCATCTGGTTACAGCGACGGTAAAGCAATGTTTCATACATAAACTGACTTCTTGGAACACGCCAGTGACGTTTGATCTTAAAGAAGGAACTATCAGTATGATATTGCTGGCTGAAAGGTAATTTGGCTTTGACATTTATGCCCTATTTATAGGATCGCATTAAATCCATTATTCAGTGATGGTCCCAATGTGTTTTCTGCTTTTCAGGTGTCTCTGTATTGTAGAAAGAGCTGGTCTCTCGGTATATAGCTACATGGGTCGTCTTCTTGCTAGCCCTCGTTGGGGAGCCAGACCTGAAACTTTAGGCCGTGCTGCTGTGTCCTTGGGACCCGATGCACTGGCTGCTATCGATCAGGGGGATAGAAAACGTAAGTATTGTTCTAGAATAGTTACAGTAATATGTTTTAACCAATCTTTATAATGGCTGAATAGCTGACTTATTCTACGATTGATCGCAAGAGTAACTCCCGAGTTAAGGGCCCTCTCTTTATACGGCACGAAGGTTGGATTTGTCTCAGTCGCGAAACCTATAACGTAACTATCAATGGCTATAAGTGTTGTGACATTAATAGGCGTATCGTCTGGTAACTTGTGATTTACTTCAATTCATTCACAAGACTTGTCCATACATAATAAACTGCACATTGTCCCATTTTTTTGTTCCATCGACAGTCATCCACGTCTTCGACCTTCCCACCGGTTTGATCGTCCGAAGCTCGGCGGACAACACAGTGACAAAATTGTCTCACAAGATGACTGT